CCGTGCCCCATCTTGGTCTCCATGAGTTGTTGCAGGAGTCTGCTTGCGGTGACGGAGTCCTTCGGCTGATATACCTCAACGCCGTGCTTCCAGGCTTCTAGAGATGGAGCAGCGCTCTCTTTGTAGGAGCGAATGCCGAGTTGTTCTGCAGGTGTCATGTTGCGTAGCAGAACGTTGTACGCCATGAGGGACTCATTGTAGTATTGAGCCCGGGCGTTTTTTGTGTCTTCCGCCTGTTTAGGATAGGAGCCGTCGAAGTAGTGGTAGATCTGCGCTGTCTGTAGGAGGAGCTCAAGCTCAAAACTCCATGTGTAGAAATCCTTGCCGTAAAATGCGGCAGTAGTCTTAATTTTTGAAACGCTGAGAAAGCGTGCTTGCGCAGAGTTGATTGTTTCGTCGCTTGGACGAGGGGCAGTTGTTGCAGATTTGTCTGAATCGAGGGAGAAGCCATGCGCGACAGTATCGCGGCTTTTTGCAGCCGGTTGTCCAGGTTGAGCTGGTTGGGAAGTGGTTCCCGCATCGCCTTTGCGCAGTTCTTGGAGTTCTTTCTCCATGGTTGATAGTCGAGCAACTGTTCGAGGGCGGCAGTGCCGATCGTGGTTGTCGCCTCATTTGTCGCAGCCGGGTTGGTTTGTCTCTCGGCCGTTAGATTTGCTTGGCCCCCAGATCCTCCGGCCATCTTGGTCTTGGAGCGTGTGCCGCTCGCCAGATTTAGGTTCGGCGAATTTTACGGAAGTGACGTTGCGAAGAATCCCTGAGTAGCTCTCATACCATGTTACAATCTGAGGTGGAACTTTAGCAGAGGATCGTTTAGGGTTGATCGCAAGTAGTGTTGCAGCGGAAGTATTGAACTCAGGTCAGAGTGAATGTAAATGACTAAGATGGATAATAGCATGCATATATAAGGTTTATATAGAAATACAAAGGAATGCGAAACGACCTAGACTAGCCATGTACTCTAAGGGGTACATTCCCTTATTGCAGCGAAATTCAAACCGTGCGACGCGGGAATCGGTTTCAAACATGTTCCCGCTCTTTTGCCTTTTCCTGCATCGGTCTTGGTCAGACGGTTGCTGTGTCGCTTCGATTCTTCTGACTTCTCGACTTCGTATTTGGTAGAGTCGGCTCCTGCAGCATACAGGAATGCCTTCTCATAAAGCTTCGTATCGTAACAATACTCACAATGAGCTGCGGGACGCTTGCATCACAATGGCCCAGGACGCGGGATTTTTCATGCACAGTGAATCAGCGGCATTCTGCCCCATGAAGAACAAACGCCCGATCTCACCATGCGGGACAGGAGTAGTGGGGCCGTCTACGTCCGTGACATTACCATAACTGACCCTATTAGTAAAAAGGACCTGCATGCTACCAGGGGAAGGGGTTGGGCAGCAAGGGAACAAGCGGAAAAGAAGATTCGCGACTACGCCAACCGACCAGACACGGTCGGTTTCTTCCCCTTAGCCGTTGAAACCTACGGGTGTCCCTGTGCGTAGATACCACATTTCCTTAAGCTTCTAGTAGACACTGCTGCCCGACGCCACTTCAATGCCGATCCCCACTCGTTCCACACTAAGCGGTTCTTGTACCTTTTCAGGGAGAGATGGTCTTGTGCTCTCCAGTGAGCACAATCAGTAGGTTACCTGATCAAGTCTTGCCAGCGACGGCAGAGAACCCTCCTGTTGGGGAGATACAGTCTGAACTACACTTAGGGGACTCATGCATGGTGTTGGAGCCCCTCATAGAGCTGTAGATGTGAGTGTGTGACTAGCTAGCTTGGTAGTTTGCATGTGTCATTTGTAGTACGTGACCTGCATGTTTGTACTTTCCAACAATATCAATACATAGACCACTAGAGAGAGAAAGAGAGAGAGAGAGAGAGAGAGAGAGAGAGAGAGAGAGAGAGAGAGAGAGAGAGAGAGAGAGAGAGAGAGAGAGAGAGAGAGAGAGGGGGGGGGGGACGGGGAGAACGGAGGGGAGAATGGAGGGGAGGCTGTCAATGGAGAGAAACAAGCAGAGGAAGCAAGCGGAGGCAGCGAGTGGGGTGAAGAGGGAAACAGAGAAAGAGAAAAAGGGAAGAGAGTGGGAGGAAAGAAAGCAGCTTGCAAAGGGTAAAGAGAAGGCAAAAGAGGAGGCTACAGAGAAGAGAAAGCGGGAGGAACAAGAGAGAAAGGCAAGTGAGGCCGAGGAAAAGGCGAAAAGGGAGGAAGCTGAGAAGGCGAGGAGAGAAGCAGAGAAGAGTAAGGGAAAGGATAAGGTGAAGGGAGAAGGTGGAAGCAAAAAATCACCCAAACCACCGCCTGGGAGGAAAACGGGGGTAAGAAAGCCACGGAAAAACATTCGATAGCATTTTTACATTCTCCTTATGGCAAGTATATATGGTTAGTGGTACTTTATATACCGTAATGCCCCGGATATACATCCAGGCCTCAGATACACCCAATGCGGTTATAATCGTACTGGTGCGCTTATACGCAGGGGACCGATTATAACCGCACCCATTTTTGGAGCAATCTTTAGATAAGCCCACCCCCCTCTTCATGCGATAAGCCCACCCCACCCTTGTTCGAATCCCTGCCTTGTTGGCATCGCTTTAAGGAACTTGGACTGCACCCCCGCTGCACACCTCAATTCTCCGCCCGCTGGCATCACTATGCACCGCCTGGTGAGCCGATTGGCCAGAATTTGGCCACACAGGATGCCCTGGCGCATGAATCTTGCCCCATGGGCCTTTTCTCGAACTTTCGCCACTGAACCAATTGTGTTCTCTTCGCTAAGGAAACCGCAATCACGAGATCTACATTTTTATGTCCTTAACAAAAAAAAAAAAAAACGTACGTGTCATTTATTTTCCCCATGGGGTTAAAAAAAATGCCACATTATAAGCCCATTCACCATTTTTCCAAGTTCCATTACACCCCCACCTGGGGATATATCCGGGGCATGATGGTAGTGTCTGTACAATGTTGATGTTTGTTATGTTAGCTCTGTACATTATGTTTAACTTCTCCAGCACAATGTGGTTTGTTGCCCTGAGACTAAATAGTATAATTAGTGGTACATTAGGCTTTTTTCGCGAGCATGTTTGTAAGCATGCATTCAGTTCCCCAGCCTGCGCCAACCCTTAATTCCTGGAATTTCCTTCTTTTTAGCCTCCTATGTTATCGCAAGGCCTTCATTGCATTGTCAGTTTATTTAGTCGCAGCTTCGTTATTGATTATTCGTGCTCATTCTTCGTTAAAACTCATAACCATATGCATTTATAACTCCTCAGAAACGTAACGTTTGCATTTTCGTTGTCCTTCGCACGAATCGCATTTCTGCGTTGACTTCCGCGACCTCTTCAAAGCCCCCGAAACTCGCATCGCTGTTTCTCCTGATATCCACCTGCGAGCGTTGCGCTCAGGTGGTTCCCTTCCATCCAGGGCGAAACTGCCCTCCACCACGGTCGTCGGGGGTCATCGGGCGTCAGCCCGCTCCACCGCCAACCTCAGTTTGACAGCAAGGCAGGGCAATATCTACTGCGATGCGCCTAGTCACATTTCGCGCGCAAGCTGTTTCTTCTCCAACTCCCTCTTCCTCCCCTAGCACAGCCAGTTTCCCATTTTTTTGTGACTAGTTGTAGTACGAGATCTCTTTGCTCTCAGTCATTCCTTTGTCGCGATAATCTCAAGCTAGCCCGCGTTTACTCGTTTAGCCTATCGATCTCTATTATTCTTGAAAATACGTTACAAATAAAAAAATAACTACAGGTTTTTTTCAGCCTTCACTGAGTGGCGCGAGCAACAGACCCGAAACCCTAAAACCCTGACTTTATCTTCCGAACCAGGTTCAACACGCCGCATTTGAAGGTCTCAAAGGGGCCTTCCGATTCATAGGAACAAACACGCAAAGCTCTGACAGATCGTGGCCGTCAGAGTATAATGGCGCAGCGACAGCCGTCCAGGTCGTTACCTGCGGTTTCGTGGCTGCTCCTCGCGCTTCTACTGGCGTCATTGCTGACGTCAGCGCTGTCCACACTGGAAGAAGAGGTAACACGCTTCCCGGAAGCCGCCCTTCCTGTGTGTCTTTAATACGAGATCCCTAGTAGCTAGTTTTCCATATACCCAATGGCATGTCGATCACAAAATGTCATATCCGACTCGGATTCTAAATCTTTCAGCTTTCCCTGACACCCGACACTATTCTCATCCTCCCGTTGATCCTCCTTCCTGGCGCTTAAGAACCCCTGCAAGAAAATTCCCTTTCCAGCGCGGCTTCTCTATCGACGATTTCCCCCAATCCGCCTCCATTTTCCAGAGACAGTGCATCTCATGTTAGCTCCACTGATTAGGCCTCTCTTGCTATCAACCTCTCCCTTCTTCGCTCTCTTCCCCCACTCTCACCCATTCCCGCCTCACTGAATAGCTCTACCTTGCCCCCATCATTTTGTTTCCCCTCCTGGCACCCACTTTTGCCTCTCCCCTAACCTCACAAAAGGTGGCGGAACAGGATCCTAATTGGGACTTCTCCAACAGGGGCGGCGACGCAAGCAGTGACATCAGCAGTTCAGGAGATGCGCACCCACTCTTGCCTCCCTTGTTCCCCTCCTGGCGCCCATCTTGCCTCTCCCCCATCCTCACAAAAGGTGGCGGCTCAGGATCCTAATTGGGACTTCTCCAACAGCGGCGACGCAAGCAGTGACATCAGCAGTTCAGGAGAAGGCGCCAGCGACGGCTTGAGCAGCAGAGGAAGCAGTGAGAGCAGCCTCATCAATGAGAGCAACAGCAGCAGTAATGGCAGTAACAGTGACAGCAACAGCAGCAGTAACGACACTGGGAGCAACAACACTGTGAGCAGCAGCAGCAGTAATGGCAGTAACAGTGACAGCAACAGCAGCAGTAACGACACTGGGAGCAACAACACTGTGAGCAGCAGCAGCAGTAATGGCAGTAACAGTGACAGCAACAGCAGCAGTAACGACACTGGGAGCAACAACAGTGAGAGCAGCAGCAGCAGTAATGGCAGTAAAAGTGACAGCAGCAGCAGTAACGACACTGGGAGCAACAACAGTGAGAGCAGCAGCAGCACCGACAGGAACAGCAGCAACAACAGCAACAGCAGCAGCAACAGCAACAGCAGCTGCAGTGACAGCAGTAGCAGCAGCAACGACAGTAGCAGCTGCAACAGTGGCAGCAGCATCAGTAGTGACAGCAGCAGCAGCAGAACCGGCAGTGAGAGCGACAGCAGTGATGATTACTATGAGTGCGGGCCTGGAGAGAGGGTGTGTTACGACAATGGTGCACCTCATGGCATGTACTGCCGGGGTGAGCACGAGCCGTGCCTGCAGGAGGAATTGAGGTGTGCGCAGGAACAAAACACCTATGTAAGCCGCACCTTTGGCCTTAGATTCGTGGCATTCCTAGCGACCCTCATCCTCCTGCTTCCGCACTTCCCTCTCTCCAATTTCGTCTCTCCCACTGTGCTTCTCACTCTCAGCCTCTCAGTCCCCTAATCTATCTCTCCCACTCACCTCTCCACTCACATCCTCTCCCCAGGTACCATCTCCCCTTCAACTCTTTCCTCTCCCACTCTTTCCACTCCCGCTCGCTCCTCTTCCAGTCTCTCCTCCCCACTGTCACGCCTTCCCTTCATTCATGCACATGACTCTCCTCGCGTCCCACTTCTTGCGTCCCACTTCTTGCCTCTCCAGGCAGTGTGTGCGGCCCCTTGTCCCTTCGCTCCCAAGCCCACTTCATGCATCCACGCGGTGTGTGTGTGCGGGCCTTTGCTCATTCCACTTCTTGCGTCCAATTTCTTGCCTCTCCAGGCTGTGTGTGATGACCTGTGGTCCTGCAACATCACCTATGGCTCGGGATTTTGCTGCGTGGACCCCCACAGCGACCCTGACGATTACTGTGGGCCAGGCTGCCTATACTCGGACCATGTTCGCTGCACCGAAACCAACAAGTGTGTGCCAGCATGCGACGGCGTGTCCGAATGCTCACTAATGAAGCACCCTGTAACGAACCAGACCCTGCCTTATGGCGAGGACGAGGACCCGGAGGTCTGCAAGAAGAATAAACTATGGAACTTCAAGTGTCAGCGGCAGCAAAAAGTGATTGTTCCGGGGTTTGAAGATGAGGGGGGCGTGTGGGTCGATGTGTACATTGATGACTCGGAGGTCTGCGATGGAAAGAATGATTGTCCTTTAGGGGATGATGACGTGGCCGCCACTGGCTCTGCTGCTGCCTTGGCTAAAGCATCAACTTTTAGTGACGACGAGGATCCCGCGATGTGTAGGAGTTATGACTGCTCATCTGGACGCTGGAAGTGTCTTGGAAGCACCCTGTGTATTTCGCCAACACAGAGGTGCGATGGCAAGAACGACTGCCCAGTCATCGCCAGTGGAATCGGTGATGCACCTCAGGGGACGCATGGTGCAACTGACGCCTCAGATGCTGCTTCGGAAGGGGTGGTTACAGGGGGCGGTTCACCTGTCAGTACTAGCACGCCCACCACTGTCGGTTCGCCTACAATACTGCCTTACGCAGCAGACGAGGACCCTTCCCTCTGCCGCGCGTTTGACTGTCAATGGGCAGGCTTAAAGCAGTGCCCGTCTACCGGTCGGTGTCTGCCAGTGGAGAAGTGGTGCGACGGGGTTAACGACTGCATTGATTACAGCAACTACAGTGGTAGAAGTGGTAGTAGTGCTGGTAATGGAGCTGCTTATGCTGATGACGAGGATCCCGAGGTGTGCCGGAAGTATGAGTGCCTCTGGGGTTATGACAAGTGTCCCAACGGCGTTCAGTGCATGGAAAGGTCCCGCTTCTGCAACGGTGTCATTGACTGCCACGTCAGCACGGACTCCACGTCAGGAGTAGAATCTGCCATGCCAGCTGGTGGGGTTGGCAGCAGCAGCAACGGCAGCAGCAGCAGCAGGCAATGGTTGCATGAAGAGGAGTACGGATTCTGTGAGAGCTGGATTCATTGTAGACGGTGGTCCATCCTGCGTGACTGCGACAACAACCCTTACTGTGTCAACAGGAGCATGAGTGAACACCTGGTGAAGAGCCAGTGTACAGGTAAGAAAAGGCTGCTTCCAGCTCTGGATGAGTCGGCATGTATGACCTTGAGGTAACTCAACAATGTTTCAATAATGTTTCTCAACATTGTGACTCTACTTGCGCTTGACCCCTGGTATTTGCGCTGCTTTCAGCTCTGGATGAATGGGCGAAGATTCAGAAAGACTGCTGCTGCTGCTGCTGCTGCTTCCGCTGCTGCTGCTGCTGCTGCTGCTGCTGCTGAAACTGTGTCTGCTGCAAACAAAACCGATAATTTGACTGCAGCAACTGCGACCGATAATTCCACTGTGGCTGTGAGCGGTAATGCCACCTCAGGAAATGGTGTTCCTCCTGCTATGCCATCGAACACCACGCTAGTCTCACGCCCGGGGTCATCTCGTAGGAGTGGGAAATGGCCGGATAAGAGAGGAGATGCTGGGGGGGCTGATAGTGGCAGGAAGTCAGAGCAGGGAGGGGGGAAGAATGGGGAGAAGGGAGGGGAGAAGGGAGGGGATGCTGCCAGTGGAGAGAAGCAAGGAGGGGAAACGAGTGGGGTGAAGAGGGAGACAGAGAAAGAGAGGAAGGCACGAGAGTGGGAGGAGCGAAAGCAGCTTGCAAAGGGCAGAGAGAAGGCAAACAAGGAGTCTGCAGAGAAGAGCAAGCGGGAGGAAGAGGAGAGAAAGGCAAGGGAGGCAGAGGAGAAAGCGAAAAGGGAAGAAGCTGAGAAGGCGAGGAGAGAGGTGGAGAAGGGTAAGAGGAAGGACAGGGGGAAGGGCAAAGGTGGGAGCAGGGAAACACACAAGCCACCGCCAGGAAAGAAAGCAGGAGTAAGTAGATCCAGGAAAGGCCTTAGGTGATCTGAAAAGGTACAGAAGAATCTACGGTACCTTCCAGAATTCTCTAGAGCGTGTATTATAAGATTCTGTTAGCGAGTGTTTGACTATGCAATGGTGTTGTGTAAAGAGTGCTCATCGTTGGGGTTTGATAAGCTCGTTCTTCACCATGTGTTTCTTGTTTGCCTACCTATCCCTCTTAGTAACAAACTTAATTACTGGTAGTCTGGTATATAGCTCTACAACTCAAGGCCAATTAAGTGGGTACATACTGTTAGTCTGTCTGTCAAACATATATGCTGCTCATTGTGTAGGCTGTAGTGGGGTAGCCCATATGGGGTACAACCCAAATTAGGGTTTCCTACTTGTACCCATCCTGCTGCTAGTTCAATCATTCCTGTCTCTAGTTTCTAACATGGTTTCAGAGCAGTAGGTCCGTAGGACCGTTTTTTTTCGGGCCCACCTACCGCTACCCCACAAATGAGCCTGTGACTGTGACTGCCTACTGTTTACTGTTAGCCCGCGCGCACCTTCCTGCCGCGCGCAGCCCGCTCAGAGCCGCGCGCAGCCCGCCCCGAGCCCGCGCAGCCCGCTCCGAGCGGCGCGCAGCCCGCACCGAGCCCGCGCAGCCCGCTTCGAGCCGCGCGCAGCCCGCTGCTGCCGCGCGCTGCCCGCACCGAGCCCGCGCAGCCCGCGCCGAGCCGCGCGCAGCCCGCTGCTGCCGCGCGCTGCCCGCACCGAGCCCGCGCAGCCCGCTTCGAGCCGCGCGCAGCCCGCTGCCGCCGCGCGCAGCCCACACCGAGCCGCGCGCGACCCGCGCCGAGCCCGCGCAGCCCGCGCCGAGCCCGCGCAGCCCTCTGCTGCCTTACGCGGCCCGCAGCAGCCCCGCGCGCTGCCTCCCGCACCCCGCCCCGAGCCCGCGCTGCCCGCGCGCGGCCAGCTGCTGCCCCGCGCCCCGCTCACACAGACCCGCCTGGCCGTGGAAGCGGCCCCGACCTGCTGCTGCCGCGGCCCGGCCCTGCAGCTGCCTCGGCCCCGACCTGCCGCTGCCGCAGCCCCGCCCTGCAGCTGCCACGGCCCCGACCTGCCGCTGATGCGGCCCCGCCCTGCAGCTGCCGCGGCCCCGACCTGCCGCTGACGTGACACCACCCTGCGACTGCCGCTGAAGCGGCCCCGCCCTGCAGCTGCCGCGGCCCTACTCTGCAGCCGCTGTTGCGGCCCCGCAGTCGACGCCGTCGTGAGCCTGCCCGGCCGTCACCCGACGAGCACCTGACCTTCCAGCCTTTGGTGAGCGCCTGCCTGCCTGCCTGCCTGCCTGCCTGCCTGCCTGCCTACCTGCCTGCCTGCCTGCCGGCCTGCCTACCTGCCTGCCGGCCTGCCTGCCTGCCTGCCGGCCTACCTGCCTGCCTGCCTGCCGGCCTGCCTGCCTGCCTGCCGGCCTGCCTGCCTGCCTGCCTGCCGGCCTGCCTGCCTGCCTGCCGGTCTACCTGTCTACCGGCCTGCCTGCCGGCCTCAAGCGTGCCTGCCTGCCTGCTCGCCTGCCTTTCCCGAGCTGCTGCTGCTACTCCTGCCCTTAGCGGGTGGCCCGATGCAGCTCCAGCGACGTTCCCGCGAGTCTCTCACGCCCCAGCAGCTTAGTGAGTGGTATACTAGTTGGGGCTGTCGCGGTAGCCGTCGTAGCTGTCGCCCTGGAGCTGGTCAGGTGGGAGCATCTAGCAGTGGCCAGCTGCAGCTACAGCGGCGTCCACGCGAGACACTTACGTCCCAGCAGCTCCGTGAGTGGTACGCTCAGAGTCGGGGGTCTTTGAGTACGGTTCGCTGCTCGTACGTCATTCGCACCGGTGATAGGACTGGTCAGCCTTGCGGGACGCTTAGTCACACAGAGTCCCACTGCTTCGCCCGTCTGAGCGATGCCTGGCGTACCGTGTTTGGCGACGAGGCTGAGCTCCCTGGCGGACTGGCTGGAGCTGCTTGGACAGAGGGTCGATATCTTTGCTCTTGACTATGATGCTATTCTCACTGCCATGTATGCATTGCCTACTAGTGTTGACCGTGCCTGTTACCTGTGCGTCCCGCCTGACCCTGGTATAGCGCCTGCTGCTCCCGGTACTGGTGAGGCTGCTGCTCTAGGTGCTCGTGCGTCTCCTACTCTAGGTGCTGGTGAGGCTGCTGCTCTAGGTGCCGGTACGTCTCCTGCTCCAGGTGCTGGTGAGTCTGCTCTCTCTGGTACTGCGCCTGCTGCGGCCTTGTACACCTTCACGCTTGACTCAGGTGCTTCCCGCTCCTTCTTTCGCGACTGTACCACACTCACGCCGCTTAGTCGGCCGGTTCCAGTCTCCCTGGCGGACCCCTCCGGGGGTCCAGTCCTTGCCCACTACTCCACGGTTCTGCCGTGTCCGGCCGCCCCGTCTGGCTCGCTGTCAGGTCTTTACCTCCCCTCGTTCTCTACGAACTTGGTGAGTGGAGCTGACCTCCAGGATAGGGGGGTGCACCAGTTCACTCCTGCGAGTCAGCGAGTGACTCACTGTACGTGTGCTCGGACCGGCCGACACCTGGCCACGTTTTCCCGTGCGCCTGGCTCGAGTCTGTACACCCTGACCACTGAGTCCCCTCAGGTAGCTGCGTCTGCGTCTGCGTCAGGTCAGCCGACGGCCCCCTGCGAGTGTCGCGCTTTGTCGCACCAGACCCTCCTGTGGCACCACCGCCTTGGTCACCCCTCGGTGCAGCGCCTTCGTGGCATGCACTCTCGCTTCCTGGTTTCTGGTCTTCC